TGATTACTGCAATTGCCCCTTGGAGAGCCGCAGCGTGAATGGTGGAAATGAGGCTCCGGTTAAAAAAAGAGGAAACTGTACCATCAGCCTCCCACTTCACATGCTGCCCCAGCCATCTTGTGAGCCACCTGACATGGCAAGGTTCCAGTCTTGTTTGCAGGTGGGAGACCTGCAGGCTCTGCCTTAGGCCCACAGATTCTGTCCCCACTTTTCATCTTCCTTTTTCTGTTGTTGCAGCCCCAATGACCCTTCAGTCTTCCCATATTTCAGTTTAATCACATTAATAGTGATGTAAAAATGCTAATGTCATGATCTGAAGATGTGGTAAATTAAAGAGTAGAAACAACACCAAAAAGAAAGGTATTAATACAGAATGAAAAATATACCATGATAGGAAGGGAAAGATTCTCTAAATCTAAGAGTAAACCAATCAATAAGACTGGAATGTACAAAAAAAAAGGATTAAACTAAATGTTCTGTATCGGAATACTGTAGCATGAGAAAAATAAGGTGAACTGAGAGCACAGATAGAAATAAATAAATAGGATCTGATAGTCAATTCAGAGAGATGGCTGCAGGATGACATGGACTGGATCTGAATCTTGAATGGTACATTAGGGAAGTTAGTAAATGGTGGTGGAGTGGGTCCAATAGTTAATGATGATATTAGCACCACAGAGAGGGATGACTTAAATTCAGGAAACCAGGATGTAGAAATGGTTTGGAAAGTGATCAGAACTGATAAAGGCAAGAAGTCATGACTGCCCTCCATCCCCCAATGGTAACCAGATGACAAGGTGAAGCATAAACAAAGAAATAATACCAGCTTGTCAGAAGGACATGGCAAAAGTCAGGGGAAATTTTAATCTACATATAGACTGCAAAGTTAGATTGGCAAAGGTAACCTAGGTGAGGAGTTCATAGATAACACAGTGTGGAGCTGGAGGAACACAGCAGGCCAGGCAGCTTCAGAGGAACAGGAAAGCTAATGTTCCGGGTCAGGACACTTCTTCAGAAATGGGGGAGGGGAAAGGGAGCTGGGAAATAAATAGAGAGGGTTGGGGCTGGGGAAGGTAGGAGGGATGGTGATAGGTGAGTGCAGGTAGGCAGTGGTGGGGATTGGTCAGTGAGGTGAGAGGAGTGAATAAGTGGGAGAGAAGACAGACAGGTCAAGGAGGCAGGGAAGAGAGGGAGGGTTGGTCTTGGGATGAGGCCGGGGGTGTGAAATTTTGAAACTGTTGAAGTCCACATTGAGACCATTGGGTTGTAGGCTCCCGAGGCGGAATATGAGGTGCTGCTCCTCCAGTTTCCGGGTGGCGTCGTTGTGACACTGGAGGAGGCCCAGGATGGACATGTCGTCCAGGGAGTGGGAGGGGGAGTTGAAGTGGTTCGCAACTGGAAGGTGTCACTTCAACTCCCCCTCCCACTCCCTGGTATTGTGCATCAGTCTTCACTATCAAGGAGACAATATTTCAGAAGGGTGATAAATCAAAAAATGGAAGGAAGGGAGGAACTCAGGAAAATAACAATCACCAGAGAAATTGTACTGAATACAGTTTTGGAGCTGTGTGCTGACAAGTGCTTGAGTCCAAATGGACTTCACCCTTCGATTTTAAAAGGAGTGGCTAGTGAGATAGTGGATATATTGGTTTTAATTTTCAAAACCTCCCCTGATTCAGGGGCAGCCCTATAAAACTGGAAGATAGTAAATGCAACTGCTTTATTCAAAAAGAGAGGGAGAGAGAAAACAGGAAATGTCAGGCCACTTCGTTTAACATCTTTCAGAGAGAAATGTTAAAAGCTGTTACTGAAGAAGTTATAGCAGGACACTTGGAAGAGTTCAAGGTAATCAGGCAGAGACAACATGTTTTTGTGAAAGGGAAATCATAAATAGTTGGCGGCAGGAGACAGAGAGTAATGGTGGAGGGTTGTTTTTCACGCTGGAGGCCTGTCACCAGCCGTGTTCCACAGGGATCAGTTCTGGATCCACTTTTGTTTGTCATTTTTATAAATGATTTGGATGAGAATATAGAAGTCATGGTTAGTAAGTTTGTGAATGATACTAAAGTTGGTGGATAGTACTTAGCAAACAAAGTTTTCTAATGTTAAAAAGGAATCTTGATCAAATGGGTCAAAGGGCTGAACAATGGCAAATGGAGTTCAATCTGGGATAAATGCAAGGTGTTGAAATTTAGTACAACAAACAAGGGTAGGACTTTTACAGTTGATGGTAGGGACCACTTGGTTAGCGTTGTAGAACAGAGGGATCTAGGGGTGCAGGTACATAATTCTTTGAAGTTTGCGTTACATGTAGATAGGATTGTTAAAACAGCATTTAGCATGCTTGCCTTCATTGCTCAGTCCTTTGAGTATAGGAGTTGGGATGTCATGTTCAGGTGGTGCAAGATATTGGTGAGGCCTCTTCTGGAATATTGTGTCCAGTTCTGGTTGCCCAGGTATAGGAAGGATATTATCAAGCTGGGGAGGGTTCAAAAGAGATTTACCAGGACGTTGCCGGGTATGGAAGGTTTGAGTTATAAAGAAAGGCTGGATAGGCTGGGATTCTTTTCACTGGAATGTAGGAAGTTGAGATGCAACCTTATAGAAGTTTATAAAATAATGAGAGGTACAGATAGGGTTAATGGTACTTATCTTTTCCCTAGGATGGGGGATTTCAAGAATAGGGGGCATATTTTAAGGTGGTAGGAGAGATTTTAAAAAGGCATAAGGGGCAGATTTTTTACATAGAGGGTGGTTCGCATGTCAGATGAACTTCCTGAGGAAGTGGTGGATGTGGGTACAATTGCAACATTTAAAAGACATTTGGATAAGCACATTAATAGGAAAGGTTCGGAGAGATATGGGCCAGAAACAGGCCGGTGGGACTAGTTTAGTTTGGGATTATATTCGGCATGGAGTCTATGTTGAAACAATCTATTGGTGCTTTTTGAGGAAGTAACACATGCTGTAGTGCTACCAGCCCCCTGCCTCAGCCCAATCACTCTCACTGCCTCCACATACCTCAGCTCTTCTCGATTGGCAGATATACCGCTCAAATACATTGCTATGCAACCACTACCATATTCTTCACTTTCAATGTGATGCATAATAGAATGGAGCAGAGCAGTGCTACCAGGGCCCAAGTACACCTACATCTCCACACCACTGGGGAAGTAGATGATTTTTTTCACATCATGGCGTGGGCTGTGTAACACAGCTTGTGGCATCACTGAAAACATTGAGGATGATGGTGTATGCCCAGCTTTCCACCCAACTCCCAGCTCACTCCCATCCTGCTATTGCATGTGAAGAACAAGCTGCTTGATGGGTGTGACCATGAACCTCTTACCTTGCTTCCCAACCACCCTTCCCTCATGCTAACCTTCCTGGTCAGATTTCCTTAATTTCCGACACCCAATAGCCTGCCACGCTCCAGCAACCCTAAGGGGAAGTCAGAGAGCAACAGCATGGCACTGATAAACAGGCCCCACCACTGAGTCTGAGTCTGCTGCCAGCTCACATACAATGTGGGCAGTGTTGAAACAAGTTCATGGTGTGTCATTGGGCATAAGTGGACTCTACCCACTGCGGGTAAAGAATGTTTAATACATCCACTCACAGGAAGGAGAATGGAAGGAGTGCATCTGCTCACAGACAGGTTTTGCTGCAGGGGACTCAGATACAGGTCTTAAGGGGATGACATTGAGAAGTGCATTGCTGGGCATTTGAACTGAGACACTATGTACTTCCGCTGATCTGACAGACAGCCATTCAGCTCTGCCAAGGAGCAGTGGAGGAGTGCAGCTCAAAATCGGTAGAGGGCATTGAGACAGCTTGTTCATATCCTCTGTTCCATCCCTCCGTACTGCTGTGGACACTGAGGCATGTTCACTGCCATCCTCCTTTGCCTGTTGTAGCCCTTATGTGGACAGGTCATCTGCTGCTCTGCCCTTTCTGTGAGGATTCAACAACATTCCCTGCTAAGTCCAGGAACTTAACAAAAATCATATTGAAAAGCATTCCAGAGTTCATTCAGAACTTTGCAATAGAGAAAATGATCAAAAATTCTCCCCATTATTTTAGTGGCTTGACTGTTGAAAGGAAGGCAAGGGCAGGCCATTTTGTAGCCTGGCCTCGCTAAAGTGGTGTGTAAGTTCATTGTTGGCACAAATGATGCCCAAATTTGAGATCTTAACCTATTCCATCAGCTGGTTAGGTTAGCACTTCTTCATAGGCCTCTGACCTAAACTGGGCATACCTTTGTGGGCACCATTTCAAACAGGCTTCACCTGCTGGTAGTGCAGTGCACTAGCTGAAAGCATGACCACGGTGGTGCCAAGCAAATGAATTTCATTCCTATAAACTTTGACTTCTCAATACTTTTCCATTTTGAAAGCAGAATTTTATCCTTGAAATGTGTTAGTTACTGAGCCTTTTTTATATTTTATCTCGTATTCATAATAATAAAACATCCACATATATTGTCTTTTATTATGTTGTCGATTTTCAATTATGAATGATGTTGGCTTCCTGCATTCTTAAAGTGTTAACATGTCAGGATTCGGTAGTCCATAGACAGTGGTTCAGGCACCAGTAGCAGGGCACCAGCCTCTTATCAAATTAATCTCAATACTTCTTTTAATTCTTATTGCCAAGGTACAATGAATCATCTTTCTGCTTTAGAAGCCAGTGTTTGTGTTGCCTCTGGTGCTGTGCTCTATGCTTGTGCTGTCACTTTAGTCGAGACAACTTCCTGCTAATTCTTGCCATGGCATGCCACAGTACGTGTGATTGTGGCTTTCCAGTAGAAAGTGTGATGAAATACGCTATTATATAAATTTGACTAATGTGGATAAATTACTTAATTAACCTATAATGAGCACAATTTTTAAAAAAGCTGCACGATTTGTCTATAAGCTACATTGTCAAAGCAGTCAAATACGGCTAAATATTTTCCTTCAGAATTGTAAAAAGTAAGATTTTTTCTCTCTATCACGTACCTTGACTTGGGTTTCAGGTCTTTGTCCTCACTGATATCTGGTAAACTTTCTTGTGGAGCTGAAAAGATTTAGGAACTTATTTAGGATTTAGCAGATGGAACGCATCAATACATCAAATGCCACATAGAATCTGACTCTGGTGGACAAGGGCACTCATCGCTTGAGCACTTCTTAGGCATCACTGAAAGCTTAAGAAATGGCTGAGCTTCACAGTGCCACTCAGGATATGGCGGGTGGGGGGCAGGAGAGGCTAAAATCTAAACATAACAGGTCAAACTGGAAACTCAATGGCAAACACACAAACATTTCACACATCAGTGCAGCAGGGATGCTATTAAGGCATTTAGAAACAGGTTAGCTAGAATTTCATGTCACATTTCTGATTTTAACCAATGGCACATGGGAATTACAGAGCATCGGAGCCTTACAGAGTTAAAGAAGGCAGCAAGTTAGCAAGGACTCAGGTTCTCTGAGACAGCTATTGAGACACAGCCAGTGCAGGTGAGGCAGGATAGGTGGACACTGAAAACCAAAGGCAGGAGTGGAGAAAGTTAACAACACTGCTTGGGTGTATCACAACTCAGAGAGGTCAGGGTTGGGTTACCCCTTGTAATGAAGACCTTCCACAAGGAGAGAGGCCAATTGCCAAGGGTCTTACCTACCCAAGCTTCAGGTTCCCCATTGAGGAGCAGCAGCATCAGGGGCAGATAGTGGTTCACCCAGTACCAGGGGATCAGTAACTTCAGAACCAGCAAGAGGACCAGCATCAGAGTGGGCAGGCTGGAGAAATGCAGATGCAAATGCATGGCAACTGCTTTCTGCTGCAGAAGAGGCTATCCCCAGGAGAGAGTCTCATGTCTGACCATCTGGCAGTGCCAGTGAAGACTGCAAATCTCTTGTGAGGCAGCCATTGAACTCTGTGCTGTCCTGTAGCAACGAGTTGGGATCCCTGGGGTTTGGTAAACCACCAATGCCAAATGTGCTGAAGCTCGCCGTGACTCTCAACTACACCTCCCAACATTTGCAGAGATCCACAGAGGAATCTCCCAGCCTGCAGCTCTTTGTGGTATCAAGGGGATAACTGGTGCCTAGAACCAAAGCTGACAGTCAGAGCTAGGGGTCTATCAGCCTCAGGGCCATCAGTGCTCTCCCCAGGTTTCAGGCCCTGTTAGTGACCCTTATCACCAGAAAGGCTTTCCACTAACTCAGTGAGTAACTGGTCTGTGACCACTGGAGATGGATTCTTCAGGACTATGTCCAAAACTCGTGTAGCAGCCAGCATGTGTATACTTCAGAAGTTTAAGGTGGTGCAGCTTTTAAGGTTGCAAGTGTCTTCCAAAGGTGGAAATTGGGTGTGGTTTCTCAATCCTTTGTGGATCCCACACACAGATGAAAAGGAGAGGCCAATCCCTCATAGGTCAATCACAGTGATCATCCAGTGAGGCCATCGAGCTCCTGAAGAAGCAATCTAAAGCCTAAGTCAATCTGCTGCAGGTCTTCAATATGTCCCAATAAAGGTCTCCCGAATTAGAGAACTTAACATGGCAGAAGGTGGAGGTGTTGGTCAGTGAAGACCTCCGTGGTTGGTGATGCCCCTTCTAATGATAACAACATGGAGGAATCTGCTGTCCTGGTGATACACACTTCTGGCAAGGTTCAATAATATATAAATGGGGCGGGTGGGGGGCACGGCGGGTGGTTCATAAGAAGTGCTAAGACATGGACACTTCTAATGATCCAAATGCCCTTCCAGAAATATTCCCATTAGACTTTGCGCTGAATCTTATCTTTTTTTGGCTAAGTGTTAGTTTCATCAAATTTCACGGAGGGTTTCACTCTGTAAGGCCAAATGAGCCTTCTTGCTGCATCTTGCCAAACCCGCCTCATTAACCACCTAGCCCATCCCTATGGCTCTCCACTCATGCAAGTCTAGCCTAATTCCGCCACTCGTGGTACCTGGAACAATATTGAGCATCCCGGACGCTGATGCCATTTTTAAAACCTGCTCTGGACAAGCACTTTCAGTCTGGAGCTGCCCAATGTGGTCCCCGACTATGGCTGATGTGGGAAAATCACTGCCCTACTTTGTAGGTAAGTTCTGAAAGTCCTGGGGAATGGGGTTTTGGAGGGGACTCCCTCTATGCCCAGGATTGATGGTGAAGGCTACAACGCCAGAGCATGCCAGCTTGCTCCAAGGTTGCCTCCCAAGTCAGTGCAGTCTCAGTCACCTGGAGGAATGCCTAGCGCTGTAGGAAAAATATCAATGACCTTCGCTGCTCCACCAGGATAAGTGCCACCATTTGCTGTCTGCTAAGTCATACTTAGTGTAACTCTGCTGGTGCTGCCACTTCCCACAAAGGCATGTAACATCTTCCCTCACTAGCTATTGCCAACCTCAATCCCCGACATCATTAACCCCGCATGCACTCTGTGCTACCTGCTCATTTGCTTGGGGAACCTCCCCACCCTCACCACCAGTAATTACTGTGACACCCACATTTGTCTTCTGTAGTAGCTGCCTCTCAAAAAGCCAAGGCAAGGCAGGGATGCTGTGAGCATCCTGGTCGGCCCAGAGTGACCATGCGCTGTGAGAGTGAGTGAAGAGCCTGGAGTTACAGTCAGGTACAGTCTGGGAGCTGGGTGTGTGTGTCCCTGAGAGCACGGTGTCCTTAATGCAGCATTACAATGTGAGTTGTCAGTGCAGTCCGAGGTGCAACATTTGAAGTTCAGAATCCTCCTGCAGGTGAATCAGAGATATGTCATGTGTGTTCATACAGACTCAAATGTTCATGTTGGAAGCCAATGTCAGTGACTGTGAGGTGCGTGTGGTTGGTGCCCATGGAGAGTACTAAGAGTTTGGTCCCTGGCATCCAACACTGAGGTTCTTTGGAACAAGTGGTGAGCCAAAGTCACCAGGTACCTGACAGTGGTGAGACTGAGGAGCTCACAAAACAAGCTTTATTCTATTGCTTCCAGCTGTATGAAGAAGCAAGGCTGTAGATGAGATCAGCAAGAATTGGAAAGGGAAGCAAGACTGGTATGCGAGTCCTTTGTAGAAAGGCAACTGTAAGGCTTGACATCTACATTTTCTCTTCTCCTGTGAGATGTAAATACTGCAAGGTACTCTCCTTAATGTGGTTATGAGGTGCTCCTCTGTACCTACAGCTGGAGTGATGGCAGGCTGCTGATAGCACTGCCTTCAGGATTGGCTTCTGGTCACCTGAAATCCATACAGCCCTGCTATACAGGTATGCAGGCCCCACCCCCACCCACCACCGCTGTCATAGTTACTGGGAGCACTGGGCTTGTGTGTGAGGGACTGTCAACACACAGGGCTCCCTCACAAGAGCTCCTGGCACCAGTTACCAGAGACTCATATCTCATTTTACACCAAACGTGCTTCCTTTTTGCTGAAGTTGGTGGAACGTTCGGCATCTTTTCCTCTGTCCTTGCCAGTGTTGCAATGAACTCATGGATAAAGCAATAGCTTGAAGGGCTATGTGTATCTCTGGAATCCAGGGAATGGTCGCTTGTCTCTAGCTGCCTGCGGGTGTCACCACCCTCTCAATGGAAGAAGTCAAGAAGCATGTCATCACTCCTGGCCTTGATGCACTCCTCCACCATCCATACCCGGGAATGCCTCTGGAATCTCCACCAGATGCTCCTTCACTTCTTGCTGCAGTTGCATCATTTGAGCTGGTTACCAACAACACCCGAGGCCCAGCAACAGCCTGGGCTCGGCCTAGCTCAGGCTTCCCCCCCGACCCTAAACTATCGGGGCATCACTGTCACAGACTCCCTCAGCCGCAGGAGCATGCCTCTGGCCTGCTGATAGACCAGGCTGTGTATCCGATCCCACAGTGTCCATGCTGGTGAATGGAAAAGTGGAGTGCACCCTCTGAGGATCCCTCCTCCTCCTCAGGGCCCGGTGGTTCCCAGTCCCTCCGGCTCTTCACACTTCAGCCAGATCCTGACCTGCAGCAGATAACTGAAACACCAAAAGGCCAAGGGCTGCCCATTTCCTCTTCCTAACTGCCATTGCTGTGGGCCTCCAAAGGTCCAGTGGTGGAGCACTATGCCCTTGCACTCACTCATTCACCCACTCGGTTAGCACCATCAGTGGGAGGCTGCCTTACTGCAGTGCTAAGCCCAAGGCCAGCTCCCCCTCCTTCATGGGGTTCAGAACATACAGATTTGGCAGGCCCTCTGCTTGTCTTCTTCCCCTGCTGCAGTTTGCTCACACAAAACTGCCTCCCACCCCCTACAGAGCGTAGCACATCATCAACGCTTGCGGTAGCCCTGCTGTCTGTGACAGGGGTATACAAATACCCTGTAGATATGACCATTCTTGGGGGACCTTATGGGAATGGGGCATCAGTAATGCGAGCTGGGCATCTCTCACCAAGTTGCAGCTATGTCTATGTCAGACTATGGTCTTTCCTGACCGAGGGAAATGAGCTATCAAGTATGCACCTTGGCAGGATGAAGGAGCACATTGACGTGCTTGATCCAAGTTCTCTGGCTGACCCCTTCTTTAATCTCCGCCCAGGTTTTCTGGGTCAGGTAGACTGGATGCTTCCTCTTGCTGCTGGGAAAGGAAATCCTGATCGGTTTTGTATTCTGGACAGAAAGCTGTGGGACGGTGAACTGTTGGTCTGCCACCCCATGTCTCCGTTCTGCCTTTCTGGCTAAACGTTTCTGCTCAGCTCTTTTCCAAGTAGCCCATAGTCAGGCAGGCAATCATCAACGTAGGGCTGGCAGACCCATAGATATGGTGCCAGATCCTGATGTGGCATCATCTGCTGCCATCTTTGCTTCTTGTGTTTCCTATTCCAATTGGCTGGCCCCTGCACCTCGCCTGATCTCATTGGTTGGTTGCTGTGAGATGGTGTGGGCCTGAAGGAACAGAAATGGCATCCACTGCCAACTGCTACTGCCAGGCCCTGGAGCCGCACTGCAAACTCCAGCCTAATGTCTCTCCACTAGAACCTAAAATGTGTCACTTATAGACATTTGGCCAAACGGCATTACAATGATTGAGTGATGGAAGAGATTAGAGGAGGGAGTGAGAGAGTTGGCAGCAGAAGAAGGGGGTAATAGGGACAAAGCAGAGCAGGGGGAGTTGCATCCTGTACATACACACCACATTCAAAACAATAGCCTCCTGTAAACCAACTATCTTACAATCTCTTCTGTAGAGAACTGATTAAAATTATTTAAGCGGGGCAAATTGTTACTGTTTGAAATTATGAATTTTGGGATTCTGCACTTACATATTTTTTTCATGCTGCCCATCCATCTGTCAAGCTCATCCATTTCAACTTCCATCACTGAGGCTACATCATCCTCAAAAATCGGGCTTATGAAGGAAAATCATGATTAGCTGTTAAAATCTTCACAGTTTTATAAGCATTGTGTCATAAATTGTCTAACAGACAGTGCGCAGTTCCCCACTTTCTCAAAAATATTGGAACTGAAAATTCTCAAGGCACAATCCCAACCACAATTCTAAATTCACACACCACCACCTAGTCCCTCCACACTGCCACGCTCTGGTGCTAACTCCTGGTTTTATGGATAACCAGAGGGATGTCCAGTCATTTTCACACATAAAGCAGATACCCACACTATGGCTGTCAGACATCTATCGCCAGAGGCCCACCCAGTGTGACAAAGGTGATTTTACGGTCAATAATTAAGTCAAGTAAACTTTTTTCTTCACCTGCCAAGTTTTTGAAGGCAAAGGCACAGCCCAGGTCGGCCCATAGCTGTCACCGCAGAGACCACTGGACCTCTTCCTCTGCCAGGTTTCCAAGCCTTGGAAGCTCCGTCAGGCTTCAGAGATGCCAGGGACATCTGTCCCAGTGCCGCCCTGCCCATGTAAATAGGTTTGAGCAGGAAGGAGGAGGAACTGTCTGACTGGAGTGGGTATTTCACAGCTTCCGGTTACACTGCAACCCTTCCAGTGTAGCTAGAGCAGGGGAAGGAGCAAGGATAACCCACCCCAAGCTCTCAGTAGTGGTTAGAGGAACAATGGTTAGTGCACGCAGGGTGGGTGTAAACCACTGGCTATTTCTTTATCTCTCCCCTGCAGCTGAACCTTGATGCTGTGAATCAGATCGATTTTGTCTGAGCTGCTCGAGGACACCTCATGACAAGGACAAATTGACCAGCCATTGATATCCTGCTTGGTGAGACCAGTCTATACAATTGATCAGACTGATCAAAGAAACAATCAAACACCTCATCAAGATTGGCAACACTCAAGCACATTTGCGTTTAAATTTTAAACAGGTTTCATTGCTACTGGATTGCTTTGCCTCAATGCTCCGCTCAAATTTAATGGAGGCTAGTATGATGAAAGATTGAGTAGGTGATTTTAAAAAATCTTTAAAATACTTGAAACCTAATATATCTGTAAAAACTGTATACGCATCAGTTGCAGTCTTAAATCTAGCTACTCAAGTGCTGATTAGTGTCAGTATTATGAGACTGGACATTTTGTGCCTGAAATACCATCCCTCCTGCCTCTCTTTTCACCTTCTGTTTGAGTAAGTTTGTGAAGATCAGAAGTTTTTAACTTCAGGCTAAGCTCACATTTAAACAACAACAATATTCATGGTGTAAAATATCAAAATTCATAGGGTAAACTCTGATTTTTTATAGCCATTGACAGCAGTCCGATAGCCAGTGAGAAACAAACATTTGTTTCAGGTTGGAGGCTGTATGTATTTGAATCTCTGGCATGGATCTTGATGATCAGATACTTGTCTAATGCATGATCTGACATGCCATGCATCAGAACAGTTTAAGTTTCAACTGAAGCGCTGAGCAGCCATTTGATTCCAGTTAATTTGCACAAGGAAAGAGTAGTGCTGACTGGTCTCTGAATATCATTGACACAAAGCAGCTGCACATGTGGAATATCTCTCAATTTATAGCTGGATTTAATCTGAGGCTTTACTCTATGTTATACAGCAGTAGACCATTAATGAACTGCATAGAAGTTTTATATAAGAAGTTATATAATGTAACAAAAATGTTTGATATGGTCCCTAAATTTCATCTTCGGTTCTGCCTGACCACAGCTGGAATTTTAGATAGAGTTCACCAAAACCCAATAATACGTGGCAGAGATAATAAGAACTGCCGATGCTGGAGTCAGAGATAACACAGTGTGGAGCTGGAGGAACACAGCAGGCCAGGCAGCATCAGAGGAGCAGGAAAATTGACGTTTCCGGTTGGGACCCTTCTTCAGAAATGGGGGAAGGGAAGGGGGCTCTGAAATAAATAGAGTGAGGAGGGGTGGGGCTGGGGAAGGTAGTTGGGATGGTGATAGGTGAGTGCATATAGGCAGTGGTAGGGATTGGTCAGTGAGGTGGAAGGGGTGGATAAGTGGGAGAGAAGATGGACAGGTTGTGTCAGGTCAAGGAGGCAGGGATGAGAGGGAGGGTTGGACATGGGATGAGGCTGGGGGGGTGGGGAGATTTTGAAACTGGTAAAATCTACATTGAGACCATTGGGTTGTAGGCTCCCAAGGCAGAATATGAGATGCTGCTCCTTCAGTTTCCGGGTGGCATCATTGTGAAACTGGAGGGGGCCCAGGATGGACATGTCATCCAGGGAGTGGGAGGGGGAGTTGAAATGGTTTGTGGCTGGAAGGTGTTGTCTTCTGTCACGAACAGATCGCAGGCCCTCTACAAAGTGGTCTCCAGACCTCCGCTTGGTCTCACCGATGTAGAGGAGGCCACATCGGGAGCAGCGGATACAATAGACCACATTCACGGATGTTCAGGTGAACATCTGCCTAATGTGAAAGGTTTGTTTGGTTCCTTGGATGGAGGTGAGGGGTGAGGTGTTGGGGCAGGTGTAGCACTTTCTGTGGTTGCAGGGAAAGGTGCCGGGGCAATGGGGCTAGTAGGGAGTGTGGAGCGGATGAGGGAGTCGCGGAGAGAACAGTCTCTACGGAAGGCAGATAGGGGTGGGGAGGGAAATATATCCTTGGTTGTGGGGTCAGATTGTAGGTGGCGGAAGTGGCGGAGAATGATACGTTGAATACAGAGCTTAGTGGGGTGATACGTGAGGACAAGGGGAATTCTGTCTTTGTTTTTGTTGCGGGGAGGGGATGTGAGGGCAGAGGCACGGGAAACGCAAGAGATGTGGTGAAGAGCATTTTCAACCACCAAAGGAGTGAAGTTGCGGTCCTTGAAATAAGAGGACATCTGGGATGTTCGGGAGTGGAACACTCTATCTTGGGAGCAGACGCGGAGGAGGCAGTGGAATTGGGAATAGGGGATCTCATTCTTGCAGGAAGGTGGGTGAGAGGAGGCATATTCTAAGTAGCTGTGGGAGTCGGTGGGCTTGAAATAGATATTGGTTTTGAGGCGGTCACCAGAGATGGAGACAGAGAGGTCCAGGAAGGAGAGAGAGGTATCAGAGATGGTCCAGGTGAATTTGAAGTTGGGGAGGAAGGTGTTAGTAAAGTTAATGAACTGTTCAAGCTCCTTGTGGGAGCACGAGGCAGTGCCGATACAGTCATCAATGTAACGGAGGAAGAAGTGGGGGATGGTGCTAGTGTAGCTGCAGAAGAGGGACCGTTCCACGTATCCTACAAAGAGGCAGGCATAGCTTGGGCCCATGTGGGTACCCATGGCCACCCCCTTGGTCTGTAGGAAGTGGGAGGAGTTAAAGGAGAAGTTGTTAAGTGTGAGAACGAGTTTGGTTAAGCAGATGAGGGTGTTGATGGAGAGGGACTGGTTGGGCCTTTCGGAGAGGAGGAAGTGGAGGACTTCTAGGCCATCTGCATGGTGAATGCAAGTATACAGGGATTGGATGTCCATAGTGAAGATGAGGTGTTGTGGGCCAGGGAATTGGAAGTCTTGGAGGAAGTGGAGGGCGTGGGTGGTGTTCTGGACGTAGGTGGGCAGTTCCTGGACCAGGGGAAGAAAATAGAGTCAAGGTAAGCAGAGATAAGTTCAGTGGGGCAGGAGCAGGCAGGGACAGTGGGTCGGCCATGGCAGTCAGGTTTATGGATTTTAGGAAGGAGATAGAAACGGGCGGTGCGGTGTTGGAGAATGATGAGATTGGAGGTTGTGGGCAGGAGGTCACCTGAGGTCATAGGATTATGGATGGTCTGGGAGATGATGCTTTGGTGGTCAGGGGTGGGGTCATGATCAAGGGGGCGGTAGGAGGAGGTGTCATAGAGTTGACGCCTGGCCTTGACTATGTAAAGGTCAGTGTGCCATACCACTACTGCGCCTCCCTTATCTGCGGGTTTGATGGTGAGGTTAGGGCTGCACGTTCTGTGGGGGAGAGGTTGGAGTGAGTGAGAGGGGTGGAGAGGCTGAGGCGATCAATACTGCGACGGCAATTGGAAATGAAGAGGTCGAGGGAGGTTAGGAGGTCTTGGGGTGGTGTCTAGGGGGATGGGATGTGTTGGAGGCGGGAGAAGGGGTCTGTAGAGGATGGGTTAGACTCGCTGTTAAAGAAATAGGCACGGAGGCGGTGGAAAAACTGTTCGACGTCCATTTCAAGGACCGCAGCTTCCCCTTGACCACATCTCTTGTGCTTCCCATGCCTCTGCCCTCACATCCCCTCCCCGCAACAAAAACAAAGACAGAATCTCCCTTGTCCTCACATATCACCCCACTAACCTCCGATTCAACGTAACATTCTTCACCACTTCCACCACCTGCAATCTGACCCCACAACCAAAGATATATTTCCCTCCTCACCCCTATCTGTCTTTCATAGGGACTGCTCTCTCCGCGACTCCCTCGTCCGCTCCAGACTCCCTACTAGCCCCACCATCCTTGGCACCTTTCCCTGCAATCGCAGGAAGTGCTACACCTGCCCCTATACCTCCCCTGTCACCTTCATCCCAGGCCCCAAAAAAATCTTCCATATCAGGCAGAGGTTCACCTGAACATCCGCTAATGTGGGCTATTGTATCCGCTGCGCCTGATGTGGCCTCCTCTACATCGGTGAGACCAAGCGAAGGCTCGGAGACCGCTTTGTGGAGCACCTATGCTCGGTTCGCGACAAACGACAACACCTCCCAGTCGCAAACCATTTCAATTACCCCTCCCACTCCCTGAAATGACATGACCATCCTGGGCCTCCTCCAGTGTCACAATGACACCACCCGGAAACTGGAGGAGCAACACCTCATATTCCGCCTTGGGACCCTACAGCCCAATGGTCTCAATATGGACTTTACCAGTTTCAAAATCTCCCCACCCACCCCGGCCTCATCCCATAACCAACCCACCCTCTCATCCCCGCCTCCTTGACCTGACACAACCTGTCCATCTTCTCTCCCACCTATCCGCTCCTCCCACCTCACTGACCAATCTCCACCACTGCCTACCTGCACTCATCTATCACCATCCCACCTACCTTCCCCAGCTCCACCCCTCCTCTCTCTATTTATTTCAGAGCTCCCTTCCCCCTCCCCCATTTCTGAAGAAGGGTCCTGACGCAAAACATCAACTTTCTTACTCCTCTGATGCTGCCTGGCCTGTTGTGCTCCTCCAGCTCCACACTGTGTTAATACATGGCAGAGACTTGATTCTGCTCTGTCAGCCATCTCTGTAATTTAAAGGAGGAATCTCTGCCCATCCCTTCCATGGCCAATGGTATCATTTGAGAGCATCCAAAGGATTTGATGAAAGACATTCCTATATTGGGAGTTTCTGTTCTCCAATTCACTTTGGACATATGTTTAATACCAAAACACATTGGTCTTCAGCGATGCAAGGCAAAAGGTCAAGATGAGGGGAATGGCCCAGACTTCTGAAGTTAAGAGAAAATGTTTTTCTGTGGAAAACAGAAAACAATCAGAAACCTGCTCTCATCCCACCTGTAAAAGTTTGAAGGAAGTTCTGTCTCCCTCCTCCACTTAAGCAGCTGATGGATTTTCTGGTCACACATGGTTAAAAGGGATTTCTAGTGGCATAGATTCCGCTTTTCCCAAACACATTCTCTGACCTCCTATTGGGCAGCAATCTTGTGTGGACCAAACACTTTTTAATCAACTACCTCTAGATTGTTAAAAGGAAATTTTCCTGAATGAGTTGCTGCAGGTTCTGAGATCTCGGGAAAAGGGATGCTGGAATCTGAGAGGATGTTAAGAAGTTGGCTTGAGTGTCTCTGGCCAAACTGTGAGTAATCTCTTAGAACCGGACCACTGACAGAACCATCAATTGGGGTGGGCAAACCGCAGAGAACTCTGAATCAGATGGAAAAAGAGAGAGAAAGAAATAAAGGAAGACTCTCATTTATATTGCACTTTTTATGAACTTAAGAGTGTCCTAGAGCGCTCAACAGTCAATGTTTTGACGGATTACAAGGAAGATTTAATTTAGATTTTTATTGTCACGTGGACTCAAATACTGAAGTACTGGAGTACAGTGAAAAGTGTATAATGTCGCCACACAAGGTGCCACCTTAGGTATAAGTATCTTCCACAGAATTTTAAGAACAAGATAGAAAGAAAGAACAAAGTTAGACATTAAACATTCCAGCAATTCCTAGTATTAAATAGAAAAATAAACGAATAAAGCTAAAAATTAAACATTACAGTCTTTTGAAAGTGCTGGGAGACAGATGTGGAAGATTGGGGGCAGCACAGCACTGGATAAAGATTCTTTCAGTGGAATAAAGCCTATGATGCTGAGTGACTGACTGGGTTATCTTCTCCTTCATATGTTTTTCTGGCGAGTTGTAAGGGATTGGTTGCTATCACAAGTCCTTAATAGTTTCTCATTAACAGTTATCAATTTATTGTTGCAACTTAAAATGGCCTACAGTCACAGTAGTCTGTAACAATCTGAGCTCAGAAGCTAAGCAGACCCAGAGCTGATTAGTTACTTGGATGGGAGACTGCCTGGAGCTACCAGGGATAGTGGGCTTAGGGGCGTTGTGATAGCATCACTAACTCTAGGCCAGATTCAAGACCCAATTTCCCTGAAAGTATGGGACAACATGTCTGAACATATTAAAATCGTGATAACTTAAAAATACTCAGATAGGTTCCACAGTAGCACAAATGTGGCAATCCCTATGTTGGTCTCTAACAGTGACTGTATTGTAGAAAAAACATCATCTAGAATCATTCACAACAAGGTGAAATGGACACTGTTGTAATACTTAAGCTCCTTGCTTCAGAGAAACTACTCCAATTAACAGTCAATTTCAATGTGTATATTTCTTATGTAATCTCTGTAAAATGTTAAACAGGTTAAACACCATACCTGGCTGGATTTTCACTGTTAATTTCATGATCAAGAGCTGAAATATAGAAAGTTTTTACATCTTTAGTAAATATATGTATTCAAGCACATTTTCTGTATATAAAGGAAGACTTGCATTCACGAGCACATTCAACAACCATCAGCAATCTCAAAGTGGTTGCCAGCAGTGAAATACTGTGGAAAAATAGACACTATGGTAATGACAAAAACACAATAATTAATTTACACCCAGCAAACCGCAAGGTCATCAAGACCAGATTGGAGCCCAGAAATTCCAATCAGGGCCAGAAACTCTATTTCCAAACTAGGCCAGACTAAAAATACATTTCCTGTTTGATTTGCCTCAAGGATTCCCAGACAAAAGAAAACAGTGGAAACCAGTTTGAGGGAACCTGACTTCCAGAAGTGGAGGGAATCAGTGTGGGAACCATACTCCCTTTTACAGCCGTAAGTGTGACCTTATTGTGCTGATAAAAAATCCAGCGACTACCCAGACAGTGAGTAAATCTGTCAGGTCAGAGCGGGGCAACCTGGCAGGGTAGGGTGAAGAAGGTTGAGGAGTCAGGTTGGCAGCTAGGTGAAAGGGGAAGTGCCAGGTAGGTGACTGAGTGCTTCGGGTAGGTTGAGGAGTTGGGTCTGAGTGTCGGGTGGGGGGACAGGGGTGCGGCATTGGAGGGTGGAGCAGGAGTGTCGTCCAATCAAGTGTTAGTATGGGTGCCCTCCAGGGTGACAGAGATGTCACATCAGGAAAAGTACAGCAGGTTGTTGGGTCCAATGTAGCACAGCACATGAGTGAGGAGGGCTTGGATCCAGGGTCTGGTCAGTTTAGGGATTTGTTGGCAGGTCGAGGGGGAAATTGTCAGGTCAGGTCGGGGTGGGTTGTGGGCAGGTGAGATTGTTGGATCAGAGGGTTGGTTGGGCGGGTAGGATGGTTTGTTGGGCTGAGCAAGAGGGTATGGGTTGGGGGGGGCTGCGTGTTGTCCATGTGAAGGGGGTTAGTTGGGTCAGCAGGTGTTAGGAGGGTGAAGGTGGACACTGTCAGGCTGGGGGGTAATGGGAATGTTTTTAGGAGGAGATTAAGGTTTTGGGGTCAAGTTGGGTGGTGGTGTCAGGTCTGGAGATATCAAGTGGTTGGGATGTTGTGTAGGGATGGGATTCAATGTGTGGGGGTATGTCTCTGTGTGTGGGTGAGGATGACTGTGTGTGTGGGTGTCGGTGTGTGGGCGTGGGGGTGAGTGTGTGTGGGTGCAGGATGGTGTGTGGGGGTGGGGCTCAGTGTGTGGGAGTAAGGATAAGTGTGTGTGTGGGTGTCGGTGTAGCGATGAGTGTGTGTGGGTGCAGGATGGTGTGTGAGGGGGGCTTGGTGAGTGGAGGTGAA